GGAGAATGTGTCACAAGATAGACTGGTGTTTGCAATGATAAACCCACAAATCATATATTTTTTTAATTGTACAGTGGTCTGCTAGTTTAATATAAAAAAAAATATATATATGTCTGTTTTGTACAAGCACTTTTTTATCAAGTTCTCTTTTTGTTTCTGTTTTTGTTTGGGATTTATAAAATGTGCCTGTCAATTTTTGTATAAGCACAAAACATTTAAAAAAATGTCATAATGCTCGGAAGAGTCTGCCCAGTACTTTAATCAGATATACTACTCATTTCTTTCCTTCATAGGAAAAATTGAGGAAAGGTCAATCATCTCATATGCCTACTCTGAACCTTGTCAGGTCTTAGTTGTGAAATATTACTGGGATATTTTGGGGACTCAAAGACAAGGGCTCCCAAACATAAATCTTCCTTAAGGGAGGGATTGTAACTTTGAAGTCTCAGATGAATGCTGCTGTGGTGAGAAGCAGGAGCCAAATCATCAAACTAAACTTAGAACCATCACCAGAAACTTCACCTAAAAATCCTCTGGCCGAATATAAGTAAGTATTTAGGTCATCCTTCTCATTGAATATACTCTAAAAGGGATCAGTCATTGTTACATTTTAATAAAGTATTTGGTATTTGATATTTCAGTATTTCATAAATACTCTGTTGGTGCCCTAAGGTTACCATTTTGAATTTGTACTTTATTCAAGGTAAAAACACCGTGTTAGGGCTTCATAGCCTGAAAACAACTGTTAAAGTATCTAGGACACATAGCAAGTTGTATGAACCTTGCATCTTTAAATGATTATCTAAATAACTTAAGAGAGAAAATTTGCTCCGTTCTAATCTTGTGAAGAATAATGTCCTGTCTAAAAATATTTTTATTGCATAATTGCCCAAGAGACTCAAACCATTCTGCTATCTCTGAGAGTGATGTAGGTCCCGCTTCATGGCAGCTTTCCACTAGCAGCTATCTGCTACATTTCTTGGGTGAAATTAAGAGAAAATATTAACCCTCTAGGGATTTTATTTAAGACAGAAATGAATATGTTGACAAAACACTGCCAACTTCCATGTGTGGTTTAAGCTGTTGTTTTTATATGCCCAATGTTTCTTTCTTAATTCTTTACAAGTTTGGGTTTTTTTTGTCTGATGAATTACTCATGCTTTTGAGTTTTTGCCTCAATATAAGATGTCCATCTACATCTCAACAAAAATATCTATTTACAACACTTGCGTACTTAGCTCTCTCTTGTATGGCAGGAAAACATGGACTCCTTATGCCAAGGAAGAAAGAAAACTGAACGGTTTCCATCTTTGATGTCTGTGCCATATCTTGGGTATAACGCAGCATGACAAAATCTCCAACTTTTCTGTTCTGGAATGGGCCATGATACCCAGTACGTTTGTGCTCCTGAGACAGAGAAGCCTCCCTTGGGTAGGACATGAGAATTATTTGAGTGATGGTCAAATCTATGATTAGCTGGCTATTGGCAAGAATCAACTTGGATGGCCAAAACTCTGTTTGGTTGATGTCTGCAAGAAAAACCTTTGTGAGCTGCGCATTGGTGGCCAAAGCTGGGATTCAGTCACTTCAGATCGCTGCTAGCAGAAAGCTGCCATGAAGCGGGACCTACATCACTTTGAGATGTAGTAGGTCAATGATGAGAAAGAGAAGAGGCATCAGAGACAGGCCAAACAAAATGGTGTTTTGCATACTGGCGCAACTAAGTTTGTATGTGCAACTTGCTGGAGAGTCTGCTTGTCATGTGTCGGACTCCTCAGCCACTCAAGCAGCTGTGGTGGTACCCTGTAACCCATCAAAAGTGCAGTCTCCATGGTCTGCCAAGATTGATGACTGCTAATGGAGTCTTTTGCCAATTTTTAAAGTGCTCATACTTCTTTAAATGTAGAAGGTTATGGAGGTCAAATGAAGATAAGAAAAATAGAGTGTTTATCAGGACCTCTTTATGCAAAATTTGGTTGGATATTTTTTCAAGACCAAGTTAATGAAAGTTTTAATTACTGTTACTGAAATTAGGCCATGCACATAAGACAGGTTTTTGCAGAATCTAACTAGATCTTGGCCTATTATGAGGTGGTGGTAGTCCTGAAAGTTAAGAAGTGAGATGGTTCTCCCTTGGTTTTCTATTTTTTCATTTTAAGTTTCTGTGGGGAAGTGAGTTGGATGGGGAAAATGTAGGCTTCTAAAATAAGAGTTCTTTGGTTAAAACAGTTTATTTTTAAAACATCTTCTAGTGTCAGGGAAGATCCAGAAGCAAAACTGTTTGGTGATTTCACCTATTTGGACATCTTTACATGTGCTCTGGGGTCGGGGGTGGGTGCTCTAATTAGAGCAGCTTTCAGGAGCTCCTCTAATTAAAGCGCCTGCAGCAATTTGTGTATTCAGTGTCCCACACTTCAAAATGGTGGTGGGGGCACTTCAACTACAGCTCGTTCGACAAGCTTTAGTTAAAGTGTCCCCCTGCCATTTTGAAGTGTGGGGACACTGAATACACGTAATGCCAAGGCTGTTGGAGTGTGCTGATTAGGAAGTAGGTGTTCAGGCACATATATAGGTGCTCTTTGTGACTTCTTAGAAGCAAAAGTGTCAGTTTCTGAAAATCCACCTGCAGAATTTTTTAGCTTCCCTCATTTGCCTTGCTTCTACCTCGAGTGTGTTCTAGGGCAGGGCTTAACAACCAAGCCCATGGAGCCATTTGATCAGGAGGGTTTCTACTGGAGTTTCTCTCCCAGTGCTGCTGGGAGGGGGAGGAGAAGAGAAACATCTACCCACCACCTACTTCTTGACCTAAGCGGAGTCAGTCTGGCCCACAGCCTTACAAGGTAACTAACTCCTGTTATGGGGCAGTGATTCTCAACCTGTGGGTCGTGAACCAAAACTGGGTCGGAAGAATATATGAAACAGTCGTGAACAAGCTTTAAAAATGGATTCTCCTTTAAAGGAGAAAAACATGGGAAACCATAGCCTTTCCCTTAAAGACTGGCAGCGTTCCAGCCTGGGAAGGGCTGCTTGGGCCCCCTACCCCACACACTCGGAGTCTGGGGATGGGGGGCTGCAGGTCAGGAGTGAGGGGCCCTGGGTCAGGACTGGTCATTGATGTTTACAAATGGGTCCTGGTACAATAAAGGTTGAGAATCACTGATACAGTGTATTCTTGGTGTTTGGGGTATTTTTGCTTGTACTTCTGTGAGAGTTTGGAGTAGCAATACTGGGGGTTCCTTGGATGCATGATTGTGAATGCAGGGGCCTGGACTCAATGATCCAGAAAACCCTTCCCATCTTACGTTCCTGAAAGTTTAAATTAAACATTGGAACATAGGTTTAATTGAATAACCCCTCCCCCCCTCCCCCCCCAAAAAACAAAACAAAACAAAACAAAAAACGTTTGTGGTAAATATGAGCCCCTAGGTGCCTTTTCTGTCCTCCTTGAAGTTCTTCCTGGAGCAAATAACACCCTTAAATGTCTTATGGCTCAGGCATCTTCCACTGCTTTTTAACTCCTGTGATTTTTATCTTGGGTTTTATTATACTTGAGATTTTATTTAAAGCCGCATTTCCTGGAGACTAGGGATTATTGAAGGGCCCTGTGCCCCATCCCAAAGGGATATCAGCCTCCTCACTTTTTGGTAATCCATGGGATTATGGTGGAATTGTGAGGTCACTTCCGAACAAGCAGGGTTGCGAAGTGAAGCTTGGCTCGCTTTAGGGCTCCTTGATGAGAAGGCAAGTGTGTAAGAAATGGCTAGCTCTTGTCTTGGTACATAGTGGCCTGGCTGCTGAAGCTGCACCTACTTTCTGGCAGTGGGAGATGGGGCCTGAATGGGCTGGATCGTACTTGGAAAGTGGGTTAATGACAAACTCCCACATGTGTGACTGTGTACACGTGGGTGGACCTGTGTGTACATACAGGCATGTCTGCATACATGAATGTATGCATGTGCACATAGAGGGGAGGGTGTACCTATAGAGGGGTGCGTACACCTGTGTATACATACTGGGGTGTGCACACAGGTGGGGGGGTGCACGCCTGTGCATGTGCATACAGGCACCTGTCTACAGGCAGGGATGTGTGCGTGTGTACCTGTGTGCTCATGAATGGGGGTGAATACACCTCTGTTTTCAAGTGAGAGTTAATTGCATGGGACCAGCTAACACAAGGCAGTGCAGCATGCTGTACTCCCATTTCCACTTGTTCCCATTACAGTAGATGCTTACCACTCTTACAGGAAGGGAAGTAGCTAACTATTGAGAAATATTACTTAGCACATTTAAAAAATGTCTGAAGGTAGAGAGTAAAAGAAAACGTAAGAGATTTCTTCATGAAGTCTCATCAGGAAAAGGATTCTCTCCTCTTCCTACCCCCCTGCTTATCAATACACTGTGGCCAGTTTGGATATCTTAGCACCAGTTTTTTAAACATGTAATAAGGGAGTAAGATGGGATATAGAGGTCTGAATAACGCATGCTTACTTGACTTAAAACAATACATGATTTCAAATGCAAGAGAATACAAGGGTGTGCGCACATGGTGGGGTGCAGGCACATAGAGGCATGGCTTTACCTAGGGCTATGGGTGAGTGTACCTGTGTGCATACATATATGGGTTGTACACACCGCTGTTCAGAGAGGGGAGTATCCCATGCTGGGGTGCGTGCCCGCGGGCACATACAGGCATGGCTTCGCCTAGGGGTGTGTATCCGGCTGTATGTATGTACGTGTGTCATGTGGGGGAGGCGCGTACAGAAGGGTGTACACGCTGGATGGACCTCTGGACTGGGTGCCCCCTCCTCGCCGTTGCGGCAGGAGGTGGGGCCGCTGCAAGGCGGCGGGTATTTACCGGCCGGGGGCGGGGCCAGCGGGAGAGGGCGGAGCCGCGTGCGCCGAGGGGTCTGGCGGGCTGCGCATGCGCACGGGCAGGCGGGAGCCGGAGCCCGGCGCA